ATGTAGGTGTTAATAGCATGTGGGAGTTGCTAGGATGTCGGTATTGCTACGAATTGAGTGTTTCTTGAATGAGGGAGTTGCTAGGGTGTAGGTGTTAATAGGATGAAAGAGTTGCTAGGATGTGGGTATTGCTACGAATTGAGTGTTGGTTGAATGAGGGAGTTGCTAGGATGTAGGTGTTAATAGCATGTGGGAGTTGATAGGATGTGGGTGTTAATAGGATGTGGGAGTTGCTAGGATGTCGGTATTGGTACGAATTGAGTGTTGCTGGAATGAGGGAGTTGCTAGGATGTAGGTGTTAATAGGATGTGGGAGTTGCTAGGATGTCGGTATTGCTACGAATTGAGTGTTGCTGGGATGAGTGAGTTGCTAGGATGTAGGTGTTGCTCGGATGTGGGAGTTGATAGGATGTGGGTGTTGCTAGGATGTGGGAGTTGCTAGGATGTCGGTATTGGTACGAGTTCCTAGGATATGGGTGTTGCTACGATGTGAGTGTTGCTGGGATGTGGGAGTTGCTAGTATATTGGTGTTGCTAGGATATTGGAGTTGCTAGGTTGTGGGAGTTACTAGGATGTGAGTGTTGCTTGGATGAGGGAGTTGCTACGATTTAGGTGTTAATAGGATGTTGGAATTGCTAGAATATGGGTGTTACTAGGATGTGGGGGTTGCTAGGATGTGGGAGTTGCTAGGAAGCAGGTGTTGATAGGATGTTGGAGTTGTTAGTATAGCTGGGATCAGCTTTTAGAATTTGACGAACTCATTTGGAATGCTCTTAAGATGCGCGTGGGAAGCAGACATTCCATGCAGGCTGTGTCCTCTTTGAAACAGTGTTGAGAGGTGAGTGTGTCTCAGAGATGATGGTTGACCATCATGACGGAAACAGGACATACATAAATCCGACTTCACCTCTCACATCAAAGAACCCAATACACCCACAAAGCCACATCCCACCCACCCACCCACATACATTTACGACCACATGTAGGGGCGGTCGGGTAGCCTAGTGGTTAAAGCGTTCGCTCGTCACTCAGAAGACCCGGGTTCGATTCCCGACATGGGTACAATGTGTGAAGGCCATTTCTGGTGTCCCCCGCCGTGATATTGCTGGAATATTGCTAAAAGCGGCGTAAAACCATATTCACTCACTCACACCCACATGTTGGCTCTGAGTCGCTGCAGTGTGTCTGAGTGGGGTACCCATGCGGCATGGTATCTAGCACCATCTAGCACCATCTAGCACTAGAAACCTGCTATAGGTCCTGACTGGAACAAGCAGCCACATCCACACGTGCATTCTCGCCTATATATAAGTTTGATGAACTTTCTTGTACCTTCGTTCGATTACCTAAGAAAAGCCTACCAGTTGAACACAAATCTGGCATATTTCACTCTTATATTCAATATATCCATCCCTCAATAAAAATGCACAAACATGATTATCATTCCAGTGTATTATAATCTATTTAGACTAGCTATTACTTTCTACACACTACATACCTCCCCTAGATACTACACTGTACCAGGTATGGTGCTGACAAACCTAGAAACATAATCGGGGAGAACCGGGATTCGAACCCACAATGATAGGTTTCTGGCGTGCCCAAGGGACGCAACTCTGCACAGCGAATCGCGGCGCCTTAGACGGCTGGGCCACCCGTGTCCCCCATGGCTTTTGAGGTGGAAACGAACATTCTATTTCTATCAAGATTTCAGAGAACATCATATAACTCCTGCTCAGAAGTCGTTTATCAAGGTTACTACATTCAAAGGGGCGGTCGGGTAGCCTAGTGGTTAAAACGTTCACACGTCACGCCGAAGACCCGGGTTCGATTCCCGACATGGGTACAATGTGTGAAGCCCACTGTACCAGTGCCAACCCGTGACACTTTGTGTATGAACTGACATTTTTGTGAAATAAAACGTGTATTTGTTCCATTACGTAACGTAATAGAAACATATTTAAGAAAAACACAAAGACTTAGTTCGTGACAGGAACAAGGCCATCCACGTTCCTCGGATGAAAACACTTATGTATTATATTCAAAACAGGGTATTTATGTACACTTTATGTGGAGACGATAAAGGGGAGGTTTAATAGTAATTCAATAAAAAGAGCATATAATATAAGCATTGAATGAGTCTCCGAAAGTAGATGCGTTCGTTATTCATAGAAAAATAGTAATTGAGACCTAAACACTTACAAAAAATTCACGTTTAATTTTCAATTATATCAACCAATTCTTTTCATCCATCCATAAACAAATATTAACTGACAAAAATTACGTAGCGAAATGAATCTCTCCTGCTGGTGATGATAACATTCGAAAGACGTATCTATTCGATAAAATTCTTTGTTGGGACCACGATCATTCAAACCTTACATTCTCCTCTCAAGCGAAAATATCGCGAAGTTCATGAATAAGTCCTTGGGGGATCTATCGCGCTCGGAATTGATTGCGTGGTAATATTTCTTATCAGATAGGGGGCCATATTCATGAACACTGTCGGGATGAAGCCGAGGCACACCTCGAAAGGATGCTATTCCGTTAGCACTAGGGAAAATCGTTTGAAGAACGGCTACATTCGCTGGAATGGAAAGGTGGTTTAAGGTTTAAGCAATAGCTGCGTTGTACGAGTAACAAACAAAGATTCATATGACAAGGACTGTATTTTAAAAGTATGCTGTAGGTAAATTTGAACTGATACAATTTAAGTATTATAATTGCTGAAATGTTCCTACAGCGGAAATATATGTATAGAGGGATGCTACACGGAGACGAATACTGGAAACATTACCATGGAAGCTAATTCGTGAGTGAGTGAGTTGGGTTTAACGCCGCTTTTAACAGTATTCCACTTATATCGCGGCGTGTCAGCTTAATGTGGGAGGAAAGCCCGAAGTGATGCAGGTCTCAGACGTTTACCACTTCGGTGAAACCAACGAGCCCAGGTATAGTGCTGACAAACCTAGAAACATAATCGGGGCGAACCGGGATTCGAACCCACAATCATAGGTTTCTGGCGTGCCCAAGGGACGCAACTCTGCACTGCGAATCGCGGCGCCTTAGACGGCTCGGCCACCCGTGCCCACCATGTGGTGGAAACGAACATTCTATTTCTATCAAGATTTCAGAGAACATCATATAACTCCTGCTCAGAAGTCGTTTATCAAGGTTACTACATTCAAGGCCTCGGTGAAGCTTTCAAAAAGGTTTACGGCAGGGATGTTGAGGGCACTTCCAAATTGACGCCATCAGTGACAAAAATTATGTCCGATGCAATTCCCCATTTTGAGTTGTACCATATGTTTATCAGGTTAACAATTGACTTGCCTTTGCATGTGTTTGTGACGGGTGCCGCCGGTGGGCCTGGTTACACGCAGCTTTTCGCGAATTCATGAACTAATGCTCATGATATAGTCGGAGATCGAACAATCGCCTCTGCTTATTGCAAAGATTTCTTATGAACATTGAAAGGGTTTTGTCGCTTTCATCTTTCTATCTATCTTAGAACGTGTGTGATTGTGTGACTGTCTACCTGGCTATCTGTGGCTGACTGTACGTGTGTCTATCTGTGTACCTTTGTGCGTATCCGACTGTATCTCTACCTGACTATTTTTTTGCGTATGTGTTTTTTTCTGTATATGTGTCTACAACTAAACTACACCTACATCGTCTGATCTGAGTATCCAGTTGTTAAATTGAAGTTGATGATCTACTTTAATACCCATCCCAATAGGTTTAGTATCACCATTAGTTACATGTACGATGAATGGTTGTTATTACAATCAATTAGCCTAACCACCAAACACGTGTAGACGAACTGCTCAGAAGAACCCGTAAACTCAATTGGGGTTATACCTGCGCATGACTTCCCCTTACAGGAGCAAAATGATTTCTAAATATTTTGCTTATTTATGAAATAGTCAGATAAAGTTGACCACGCTGCGGTCCTTTGTCTTCTATATAACATTTTCTACTCTGACGTTGAAGAAAGCTTGATTCTGATTGGTTAAAAAGAGGTGTCCCTTTCACTTCCTGATACCACTTTAAATTAACCCTTTCCACACCAAAACCATGCGTATGAAACATCGTTCTATAGACAGCCTGTGCATCAATGCTTATAACCATGGCTGCCGATAACCCTTTAGAATATTGTATACGTTCGATGTCGGAATATTACCTCAAGGTTTCGTCTTTCACTGGCATACTGCACGAGCACTTGACAATAACTTATCAGACATGATGGAATCTTTTTTAGAACTCATACAATGAATGAAACATGCATATGTCATTGTGTCATGAAAATGAGCAGTCTTTCGTGTCGCGAAGGGCCAGCTCGTCTTCAGAAAAAAACGGCCGTGTATTTCAGGATGTTTCCGTTGGCAATGATTGTGCCAATGGACCTTTTTCAACCAGTAAATTATCAGGTTAATGTTGAGGTGTGGTGAAATGGGGTTTAACGTCGCGTCCAAGATTATTGCACTTATATAGCGACGTGCATGTACGTGTGTGTGTTTGTGTGGCTGCTTGTACTAGTCCGGGCTGATGACGATTTATAGCGCTAGCTTACTGAGATACCATGCCGCAGTTTAACATGAATACCCCACTCAGACACAGTATACTGACTCCGAGCCGACCAGTCCTTGTTTTAGCCCCGTAATGCCGAGCGCCAGACAGGGTAACAACAAGTACCATCTTTTAACGTCTTTCGATATGGCGCGGCCGGGATCGAACCCCGGACCTTCCGCTCTCCGGGCGGACGCTCTACCACTAGACCACGGAGGCGGTCGGTAAATGTTGAACATGCCCACATATCAGGGTTGTCCTCTGGGTTCATGCAATATGTAAATGGCACCGTAAAAAACTATTTGGGTAATTCGAGCCAACGATCACAGGCTCCTGGCGTGTCCAAGGGGCGCAACTCTGCACAGCGACTTATGGCAACATAGACGACTGGGCCATCTTCTGACAAGTTGTCTTAGAAAGGATAATACTCACGAACGTTTTTTCATCCTATGCCGCAATAGGCTTTCTTAACGGATTGCTGAAGGAAAAAAAGCGTACACAAGTGTGAAATAACACAAATCCCAAAATCCAGTGCTATAAAGTCTGTGCAAGTTCAGCGTCGTTTAATGTAAGCTCTTGTCGCTTTGTACATAAGTGAAGACCAAACCAAGAACGAAGTAGCGTCAGTGAAAAGAGTGTTGATGGCTACAAGTGTGTAGAGATTGTAAAATTTATGGTTCATAATTCAAGTTGGGGCAATGAGATCCATAGGCATGGCCCATGTAGTAAGGGTTTCTAACAACACTACTGTCATCTTTCCTGACTTAAGTACTGTGTGATGACGTCACAATAGATGACGTCACTCATACCCTTTTGACGTCATGCTGACATATGTTTCTCGTCAAGTTTATCAATAAAGAAGGCACGTTTCCACTTATTAATAAGTCCTGATATTGATGAAAATATTACATTCTTCGCAGGTGTATACCTATCCATCGTTTTGATACAATACGGTACTGGATTGAACATTCCCACACCCACGTTCAGTGTTCAAATTGCACTCAGACTATGTATTTTTATTATTTTACAGATTAAAAAAAGCCAGCAGCCCAGGGCTCTTGCCCCCTCAAAACGCAGCTCAGACAGCGAGACGACTTCCGCCAGCAAACGATGCCTAATCGAACCCTTTCAAGCACTTTTCGGAGAAAGTAAAGACGCCCCAACACTGCAGCCTTCTACATTACCCAGATTGTCTGAAGGGCTGTATTCCTGGTAGCAAACCCGGGTACTCTCCCAATGTCAGTCAACAGATTGGGAGGTACAAAACCTTAGGCACAGTGGACAATGGAAAGTCAGACAACCTGGTTCTTTGGATGCAAGTGTGTCATTTCGTAAGTGAGGTCAGCATATATGCCATGTTTTCCCCTGAATCTTGTTAATCACATGATCGCAAAAGGGACAGAAAATTCAAAAATATAAATGAATTCATTCGATTTATCAAACAGAACTAGATCAGATTTGTTGGCCTGGATAGGTCTGAGGCTGCACACGGGCCTATTCCAAAGGATTTTGTATTTATCATTTTCCATGACACCCTCTACATATAATGGGTCGTACCACAGTCAAAACCACAGGCATGGCGAAGACGGTAATAAAAGGATCGAGCCACTCCATCATGTCGCTTAAGATAATGCGTTTGTGCTAAAGCTAGGCATCCACTGCGAACTTGTTGGACAGTCTCAGTAAATTCATTGCATAATCTACATTCCATATTGACATTTTGATGCAAAATCACACATTGGCGGTTTCGAATGGGAAGAAACTGTTCCTGAACAGCAAATAGAAAGCCTCTGTTTCACATTTCAGGACAGTCGACTTCATCCAAAAGAGGACTCTGTAGGGTTGCTGATCTTCTCAACACACCGAAAATAAACTCGATGCAGTGGCAAGAAAATAAAATCCACGTTAACGGGAAACCGGTATCTTGTACTGTTCCAGGAACAAGCCTATAATGTACAGACATCTAATAAGAGGCGATTAAACGTTTCCCCGTTCCCAGGCAGGGGTTGACGAACCCTCTCTGTCTCCAGGCAGCTGTCCTGGAAGGTGCTACATTTCATATGCTCTATTAATACTTATAAAAAGAATATGATTGCTATTGTGCATGTACACTTCCTGAATAAGCACGATACATGCTAACTGCGTATGATGCAGACCGGTAAATGGAGGCAACAATTAAGCCTGAAGCGAAAACACGAACATGTTTTGAGCCATTTTCTGAACCATAATTGCTACCGGATGTTATCCATCAGGGCTAACCGCTGAAAGTTCTTGGCTAACCATCCGATCGCTTCGTGGGGGTCACTGAATACAGTTTAACTTGCCTAGCGGAAGTTACTGCATCAGTCGCACCTGCCCCCATGCACCCAGGAAGTCAACACTAAAATAATTCTACTGTCAGTTATTATTCTAAACAGTCCGCCTCCGTGGTCTAGTGGTAGAGTGTCCGCCCGGAGAGCGGAAGGTCCGGGGTTCGATCCCCGACCGCGTCATACCAAAAGACGTTAAAAGATGGTACTTGTTGTTACCCTGTCCGGCGCTCGGCATTAAGGGGCTAAAACAAGGACTGGTCGACTCGGAGTCAGTATACTGTGTCTGAGTGGGGTATTCATGTTAAACTGCGGCATGGTATCTCAGTGAGCTAGCACTATAAATCGGCATCAGTCCGGACTGGTACAAGCAGCCACACAACAGGCACGTCGCTATATAAGTCGCAATAATCTTGGACGCGACGTCAAACCCCATTTCACCTCACCTATTATTCTAAACGTAAACTCGATCTTACGGTGATGAGAATTATGTTAGTGTTTGTGGTACTTGTGCCCAAGGCATTAGCTGTCAACGCTGTGACATTTACGAGAGCAGATGCGGTGAACCATGTGCATGACGAATTAAAGACATATGTTTAACGTCATCTCCATAACTACACAAAGAAATTCATACTAAGGAGTCATTTATTGGTCGTCAAAGTCGTCAAGTTCGTCAAGTTGCAAGCGTGAAAAGTACCACTTTATGATAAACCTGAATAATCCTGCCTATAAGCAATGTAAGAAGGAGATAGTATTGACTGAGTATGATTTTACGCCGCGTTTAGCAATATTCCAGCAATATCAAGGCGGGGGACACCAGAAATGGGCTGTCACAAACGCATGCAGAGGCAGGTCAATTGTTCACCTAAAACTGAGTGAGTGAGTGCGGATGGTTTTACGCCGCTTTTAGCAATATTCCAGCAATATCACGGCGGGGGACACCAGAAATGGGCTTCACACATTGTACCAATGTGGGAAGTCGGAACCGGGTCTTTGGCGTGACGAGCGAACGCTTTAACCACTAGGCTACCCGACCGCCTCCAAAGGAGATAACAGAAAGAGTGAGTGGGGAAGTCATCTTGTAGAGAGTGGGATGATGCGGATATGAGAGCCGACGAGAACATATATGATGCTTACATGCTAAGCATCATCATCTAAGAGAATCAGGGATTCGAACTCACAATCAGCATATCCTGGTACAGCTAGGGACCGCAAATCTGGACATTCAGAAGAGTAGACATAGCTTCTGAATTTTTCTCAATAAATATGAATCTACGTTAGTGTCACAAAAAACACTTTAGGCATAAGACCAGATTGTAGGCGCCGATGGGGTACGATGGCACGCTCTTTGAAACAGAAAGTGTTCCTCATGACCTATTTCAACGCGGAACCCCCTATCAAGTTATTCATGGTGTTCTTTAAGTAATATTAATTTAGCCAGCCCATCCATTAAGTAGCCTTTTTCAATAATGATACGTGGTTGGGGACCTATATTAGCCCGGGGATGTTGTGAAAAGAAGCAGACCCCCGCCACGAGCTTCTTGTAACTAGAGTAGTCCTTAATTAGGTCCAAGGTATTAATGGTGAGTGGTGCGGTAGTCCTTTGTCGTGAGTGGTGCGGTAGTCCTTACTCGTGGGTGGAGCGGTAGTCCTTAGTGGTAGGTGGTGTGGTAGTCCTTAGTCGTGGGCGGTGGGGTAGTTCTAAGTCGTGGGCGGTGGGGTAGTCCTTAGTCGTGGGTTGAGGGGTAGTCCTTAGTCGTTTACGGTGGGGTAGGCCTTAGTCATGAATGGTGCTGTAGTCCTTAATCCTGGGCGGTGCGGTAGTCCTTAGTCGTGGGAGGTGGGGTAGTCCTAAGTCGTGGGCGGTGGGGTAGTCCTTAGTCGTGGTTGATGGGGTAATCCTTAGTCGTGGGCTGTGTGGTAGGCCTTAGTCGTGAATGGTGCTGTAGTCCTTAATCCTGGGTGGTGCAGTAGGCCTTAATCCTGGGTTGTCCGATAGTCCTTAGTCGTGGGTGGTGCTGTAGTCCTTAATCAGGGGTGGTGCGGGAGTCCTTAGTCATGCGTGGAGGGGTAGTCTTTAGTCGTTGGTGGTGCTTTTGTCCTCAGTCGTGGACGGTGCTATAGTCCTTAGTAGGGGTTGTACTTAGTCGTGGGTAGTGCTGTATCCCTTAGTCGTTGGTAGTCCTGAGTTGTGGGTGGTTAGGTAGTCCTTACTCGTGAGTGGTACGGCAGTCCTTAGTCGTGAGTGGTGCCTTAGTTCTTAGTAGGGGTAGTCCTCAGTCGTAGGTGATGCGGTAGTTCTTTAATCGTGAGTGGTGCGGTAGTCCTTAGTAGGGGGAGTCCTTTATTCGTGGGTGGAGCTTTAGTCCTTAGTCGTAGGTGGTGTGGTAGTCCTTAGTGGTGGGTGGAGGGGAAGTCCTAAGTCGTGGGCGGTGGGGTAGTCCTTAGTCATGGTTGGTGGGGTAATCCTAAGTCGTGGGTGGTGGGGTAGTCCTTAGTCGTGGTTGGTGGGGTAATCCTTAGTCGTGGGTGGTGCGGTAGTCCTTAATCAGGGGTGGTGCGGGAGTCATCAGTCATGGGTGGAGGGGTAGTCTTTAGTCGTGGACGGTGCTGTAGTCCTTAGTAGGGGTTGTACTTAGTCGTGGGTAGTACTGTATCCCTTAGTCGTTGGTGGAGGGGTAGTCTTCAGTCGTAGGTGACGCGGTAGTTCTTTAATCGTGAGTGGTGCGGTAGTCCTTAGTCGTGGGTGGTGCGGTAGTCCTAAGTCGTAGGTGGTGTGGGAGTCTTTAGTCGTAGGTGGTGTGGTAGTCCTTAGTCGTAGGTGGTGTGGTAGTCCTTAGCTGTAGGTGGTGTGGTAGTCCTTAGTCACCGGTGGTGTGGTAGTCCTTAGTTGTAGGTCGTTCGGAGTCCTTAGTCGTGGGTGGTGTGGAAGTCCTTAGTCGTAGGTGGTGTGGTAGTCCTTAATCCTGGGCGTTGCGGTAGTCCTTAGTCGTGGACGGTGGGGTAGTCCTAAATCGTGGTTGATGGGGTAATCCTTAGTCGTGGGCTGTGTGGTAGGCCTTAGTCGTGAGTGGTGTAGTAGTCCTTAGTCGTAGGTGGTGTGGGAGTCCTTAGTTGTAGGTCGTTCGGAGTCCTTTAGTCGTGGGTGGTGTGGTAGTCCTTAGTCGTA